AAAAAAAAAAAAAAAAAAAAAAAAAAAGGCAGAGTCAAAAGGGCAGCAGCTTCTAAATGCAATATTTTTCTTATGCAGTTTTGCCCCTCTCAGATGTTTTCCTTCCGGATAAAATGACTTAATTTCTTGCCATTAAATATGTCTGTGTTCTTGCCAATTGCTCTGTATGCATTAGGAASAAGAGACGCACATTCAGCAATCAAACTAGCTATGCACGTGCCATTTCCCATTAAAAGGTAGCTCAAAATAATGGGGAAAAAATAAATCCCATACCAAACCACAAAATCAACACCTTTTCTCAGTTCCAATTTTCATCAAATTCATCCTTCTCCCACCAAGTGACAGTAGCTTGTTGCTGGGTCACTTTCATTAGAATCTAGCATTTTTTACTRTGGGCTTTAGACAATCGCAAGATTGACTTCCTTTGTAATCCAACGTTCTATTCTGATTTCAGAATCCTCCAATTTTTTTCTCTTCCTGTAGTGACTTCCCTGCTCCCTAACCAAATTAACTATGCAAAGCTTAAGACTAAATCTGACTGTGTAAGTGCAGGCCTGCTTTGTAAGCTACACAGGCCCTTGTGCTACAATAGGTAGGTTACATCCATCAAGGGCAGTGGGGTGCTAATCTAAGTCACAAGTTCATTCTTGCACTGGTATCTCCTGGGCAATGGGTTAGCATAGCTGCCCACTCCATTGCCTCCCAGCTCAGCACAGTCACAGCAGGAAAGTCCTGATGCTTATCAGTCTCCACACAAACACCAAACCATGTCCAGTGCACAACTTCCATCCTATTACCCACACTGCTCATGCAGATTTACTACTTTCTCCAGTTACCAGAACAACTTCTGGGCTTATTTACCCTTTCTAAATCTAAGGTGCAAAACAGAGTCTATTAAAAATCACTATTCCACATATAGGCTATGTAATGAGCTTCAGATAGCCTGTCCTGCTCCTTAGCAAAGACAGCATACRTTTGCTTTGGCCATTGCACAGTGTTTGTGCTAGGAGAGGTAGAAGACGCCTCACACAGCTAGAGAAGCAGCAGAAAGAGGTACCAGGAGCTGGGTTTGTCAGAGTTTGAAGACTTAAACTCATGCAATCCCCACAGGAAGCCATGTTTCACCCTGTGAAGAGCAGGGAGTTTCTACTTCTCACACAAGCCAGGACCAGACCACTGCTGAGAAGGCAGTGCCTCAAGGCAGAGTCCTGCTCTGCTACAGATCCACTAGCTCTGGTCTCCCAAGGGGCAGGACAAAGAGCAGCAGTTCCAAGAGGCTGCATGTGCATCAACAGTCTTCTCATGCTCCTGCTCCTGCCAGCTGCAGAGCTGTACCTGAGCCACAACACCAGACAGACAAGCTGTGATGCTGGTGTAGCTACAAGCCTAAATCCTTCTCACTCCAAAGCCTCAACAACCAAACTTTCTGAGCAAATGAGAGACAGAAGCCTCAGTATGGCAGGAGATYCATTGTATATCACCTACTTGGAATTTGCCTCAGTTGTACAGCCCCTTAAGGAGCAAAGCCTGGCTGATCCGACAGAGGCAGCCACTTCCCCAGCACTTGTTGTGATGCTCCACCACAAGCCTCTCAAAAATAACATGCCCTGCACAATTCTCACATTCCTACAAGCACTTCATATTGCTTTAGCTGCTAAGCTGATCCTGAAATAGCCAGGCTGAGCTTTTATCAGGCCAACCCCACACCAATTCCATTCACAGAGAGAGGAATAGGGCCTCAAATTCAACATGTTCCCCCAGAAAAAAAAACCTGTCAAAATTACTTCTCTAAATAAGCTCAATCACTTAACACTCAGATTTCAAGTCACAGCAGTTCCATGAGGACCTTGAACAAGAAAGGACAACATGAATCAGGGAAAATACATAACTTTTCTACACTTCTGCAGTTCCARTGCAGTCTGCTGCAGGACCAGCTCTGGCTTCCAGTGTGGATGCAGTTAAGGGAGAGAGGAAAGACCAAGGTTTCAGCAAAGAAGAAAGTCAAGAGGAGATTTGAAAGCAGCCATGAGAAAAACTGGTTTGGCAAGAGGCTACTTCATCTTTCAGTAGCACAAAGAGCTAAGGGTTGTCAGATGATTTAAGGAAAGGAACCAAGATATAGGCTCTGAAAAACCAAGGAAGGTAAAAGCTGTATGAACTTGAGAGCGTTATCTACATCCTGGTTATTTGGTGGTAAAAAGCCAATGGCAATTCAAAGTGCACTGTTTGGGAGAGCCCAGCTGGGTCAGCATCAGCCCGGCCACAGGCAATGGCCAGGCCTCACCACAAGTCTAGAGCAAGGAATCAGACCTCTGGAACACAGAGGTCCCTTGCCTGGCCCAGTGGGCARCAAATGGCTACAGTCAATTCCACCAGTCTCCATCCCAGGGAAATCCCCCTTGCAGCACATTCAGGAGCACAGGGCAGCCTGCTGCTGAGGGATGAGACTGGTCCCACCCCATGTCCATTCCCCTTCCCACCCACCCTCATCCCTGCAGAGCAGCAGGCTCAGAAGAGTGGCAGGCACTCTTTTGCACAGTCTAGAGGTGGAAGCTTTATCTGAAACCCTTCCCGAGGGAAGAGGGAGGCTTGCATGTCCACGTTGATGCAGAGCAAGCCCAGCATGAGCTGGCGCTGGTACTCCTCCCACTTCATCATGACATCAGACACTGAACGGTTGCTTCTCATCCACATGGGCAGTGCTTCACCACAAGGTGGTGGGGGAGTAATTGGCAGGTTCTGGGGCCCTCCAAGTTCCAGGTGATAGTAGAGCCTGGAAAGCAAATACATGCAAATTATCAGTACAAGGGAAGACTTGAGCAGGTCACCAGACCAGAGCTCCAGAACCATGGTCTTGTTTCGTACTAAATTGACTACATGACTTTAGTGAGCAGTCTGTGTGTGCCCATTTTTGCCGCTCACATCTCTCAGTTACTCACACCATGAACTCTTTTGGGTAAGAATAATCCCTTGTAACTAGGATCAAATCACAGCTATGACCCTCTGCCATACCTGGCTGAAAGATGGCTGCCCAGTTTCTTCTTGGCTTTCTTCACAAGATAATTGCAGATTTCTGTCATCTGCTCCCTCATCCATCTTATATCTTCAGGGATATCTGGGAGCCATTCCAGCAACCTGTAAAGAGACAGAAGACAACCATTACCAAGGCCAGACAAGGGAATATGATGAAAAGAACACCAGTTCCAAAGTCTCTCTCAAAGCTCAAAAATTTATCACCATTTTCTAGGGCCAATTCTAGCACACCACAATCTTCCTTTAAGCTGGGAGCATTGGCTGTAACTAAATGACACAGGAAGATAGGAAAAGTTTCAGGTTCTTGGTTTTTATGGGTTTTTTTTTTTTTGGGGGGGGGGGGGGTTGACTTTTTTTTATTCATGTCTGGTAATCATCAGGAACTCCTTCCCCAGGAACACCAGCAGTGCCAAATTAGAGAATCCCTCTCTCTGTAGTGTCAAACACTACAGCTACATCAAATATTCCTCTGCACTGGGAAAAGCATCACTGAGGGACAAGCCCAAGGCTTACCTGACAGTGAAAGAAACTGCTGATTCCAGAGGCAGCATATAAGGGACCATCATTGCTGTGGCCACACGTACAGGCAGCATGTTGCTGAGGCCAGTAAAGAAACTTCTTCTTTCTGCACAAGCCTCCAGAAGAGCTGAAGGCAGAAGAAAACATGGCTGAATCCCTGCAGGGGGACTTTCTTGTCACACCCTAGAAGTTACTCAGCCTGAGACAAYCACCTCCCACTTCTTAAGGAAGTCTCACTCGTGTTACAAATTCCCTGAGCACAGCTGAAAACAGCAGCTTTCACCTTTATCAGCCTCCAAATGAGTGAGCAACAAGATCCCCTCCTCTCCTTACCATGCAGAACACTGTCAAATAAATCAACCTCTCCCAATCCAGCCTCCACAGGGCAAACCACAACTTTATCTGAGACCCCTAATCCATCAAACTCTCAGCAGGTGTCAGTTCAGTCCCTGGGCATGACCAAACCCAGCCATAAGCAATAATCACGCAGACCAGAAAGCACAGGAAGATTACCTGTGATCTCTCCCTTCGAATCATACCTTGGTTCAGTCTGGGAGGCAAGTGTTCAAAGATGTGGTCTTCAACAACAGCAAGGGCAGTGTTGTCCTCTGGTTGGTCCTCAGCTTGTGTTTCTTCTTCATTCTTCTCTTCTGGAGGTGCTTCTATGGCAAGGAGAGGACGGGCAGGACTTGGGCGGTGAAGGAGACCTGGGAAGAGAAGTTATACTGTAAGGATGATACAAATCAGCCTTTAGAGTGTTAATCCTCGCTTCACCCTAACTCTCCTTAGGCTGAGGCCATACYCAGCCTCTTTAGCATAAATCTCTTGTAATGCTTACAACAAGGAATTAGAAACCTTGCTGGTTTAAGTTCATTCTCTCTTTCCCCATCAAAAGTTCTCACATTTCCCCTTTAAGTTCCACACGGTGCTGTTTTTCAGAGTTTTGTAGCCAAACTCTGCCAGTCACCCATCTTGCAAGCAAGATTTCCTTCCTGCCGTGCAATCCATACACAGAGCTGCATGGCCGCTGCTCTCCCAGTTATCCTGGTTTGCATCCCTGTCCGTGGACACGAGGTGGCAGCAAGCGCACACCCAGCGCTGCAGCGGCTGSAGGCAGGAGAGCCCGGGGCTGGTACACGGCAGCGCCCAGGACCCCGGCACCGCGGCTCTGAGAGCAGCAGCACAGACCCAGCCATGCAGGGAGAGCAGCAGGGTGTCTGCGGGGGTCCAAACGGCACTGCTGCCCAACAACYGTGTTGGTAACTGCAAAGGTCACCATTCCACCTCTGCTTCCTGAAGTACTGAAGTAGACTTATTAGGGAGAATTTCATACTCCAGTATCAGAGGCACTGTTCAGTTCTTCCCCTCCTTTCATACACACCATCACCTACCCTCMAAGCCAAGGCACCAAGTGTGGCCCAGAACAGACAATTCAGCGCACCCTGCAAATAGCCAGTGCCTTACCATTCTTCTTCAGGAAGTGCAGYGCATCCCGATAGCCCTGCTTGCACATATCCCGCAGCACCTGTGGGCAGARGAAGATGAGAGAGAGTCACTTGGAAATTGGCTGAGCAGAGCAAACACCCACATCAGTGCCAGCTTCAGAGGAATTCCCCTGACTCCTGAGCTATCCCAAGAACAAGCCTCATTCTTGCCAGCCTTTCTCAGGCTTTGGGCAGGACTGGGAGGTATAACATCAATACATTGGATATGGGAATCACATCAAGGTTTGCACTGGGTTGACACTGTAAAGAGCAAAGACAAACACAAGATACAAAACTAACAGTGTCTGCAAYCATCTCCTGCTAAAGTGCACGATAGCCAAAGCCCAAGATCCATGGTCCTCAAGTTCTGGTGTGACCAGGAAACTCACCTGTGGCTCTGGAGGAAASAGGGCCTTTGAGAGGCGGTAGAGGTTGCGAAGGTTGAACTGGATGCTTGTATTGGTGACTCTCAGCTCATGCATGTTTGTGGAACTGTCCCGTGGGCAGATATCGCTCTCACCCGAGAAAGGAGACACCGTGATTGTGTTCTTCAGCTCATATTGGGGCAAATTRTCAGAAATCCCTCCATCAACGTATCTCTGAAATCAAGACAAATGTAGCAATCTTTATTCTCACAACTGATCAAGTGGTTTTTTTACTCTGTGTCCCTCTTCGTATTTATGCCAACAACTTGGGAAGAGAATGGAGTACATCCACCAGCACTAGGGGATTTAAAATCAATGATAGCATAGCTGTATTGTTTACAATCTCCTTTTGCTATATGCTTTTCTTGGTTGAGTGCGTTGGCCACAAGTCTTCAATAAAAAAGGCATATTCACTTGTGTGACTGCTAACTTACATCTCCTATGGGGTTTGACTGCTGTCCAATTAAATAATAACACACACCAACAACCACCTGCAGTGCAAATTAGCACTGATCTAAGCTGTCACACTGTGACATTGTGCSATTTTTCACTTGTGTTTCAAACGAACAAGCTCAGACAAGTCCTCCCTGGCAGAAGGTTTGTTACCTACGAGCAAAACCAGCTGATTTGTTGCTAGAGGGCTTATCAAGCAGCAATCCCAACAGATGCATACACACTGGAAATCAACTTGCTGTGATGTGATAACAGAGCACAAAGGACTTGGGTTTTGCTTTTAACAGGCAAGCTCTTATCAGAGAATGTTCTGTACTTCTGCGCCATAAACACATTTGCGTTACCCTTGCAGGAAGGGCAACCCCAGTAGCATGTTCTCAAAATATTCATTGGATACTATAATTGCACAAGGAGCTGAACAARACGATCTCTATCACAGGTTTTGGCAGAGTAAGCAACACGCAAAAGATAAAAGGAAAAAGTATGTTGGTCAAGCCAAAAGAGAAGGAAGCTGGAAGTCTTTGTAGAGCAACAACTCCAGCTCTTGTGAACTTCAGTTACAGAAGAGTCCTGCTGGTTTTGTATCAGGGTTGATCCTACCATTTGCTGCCTAGATCCCATTCCTTTGGACAGGGTCAAACAAATCATGATACAGGGGCTATGCAGCCCCCTAAGCAGCARCTGTAAACATCTTTCACTCTTCTGAGTGAGAAGCTGAGCTGGTAGAGGCTAAACCAAGACAGAGCACAGAAATGTTGACTGAAGGAGGAGGTACTCCATTCGGCATCATGCATCCTCTTGTCTCACAGGCAGACTGACCACAACGCCTAGGAAAACACTGGATGTGTTGCCTGGAGGGTACTTTGCACTTTGTTCTCTCTTGCTCTGGATGCTCTTGCAGACAAGACAGAGACCTCTTCAAGCAGCTTCTCTGAACCTGGGGAACAGTTCACAGGCTTTTATGCTGAAAGCCTAATTCAGCTACAGGAGTCCAGCTGCCATTGAGGCAACAGGGCCAGGGTGGACTGCAGAGCAGTTTGTCTCTTGGGAGACAAACTAAATATCAGGGCTACTTTGCATATAGCCTGCATCTTCATTGGAGATGGCTTGTGATTACAGTTGTAGTCCAAACTAGACTACAGAGCACCAAACTCAGAGCACAGGGCATTTTCTCCTCACAGCAGGCCTTGCTCACCAAATACTGTATCAAGACAGACACTCAGAGACTCCTACACCACCCGAATTTGGACAGTAAAGGAAGCRGATGGATAGGATAGATTAAACTCAAGATAAGTACATCCTCTCAGAAACAGTAACACAGCTTGTTGGTAAGATGCTTTCCAGACAAGAGYTGTCCACAACCAACTGAACCCTCTCCCCCTTCCAAAGTAGGCATCAGCGTTCCCCATGTCAAAAGCAACCACAGCAAACWGCCACTGTCATCCTCCCCCCAAAACTGCTCCACTGAGAGTCAGACTGGGCACAGCTAGAGCTGGAGACATTTGGCTGATTCCTTTTGCAAGGACGAGATCCCGACATGCTGAGTGGGATGAGAACAGAGCAAAACAAGCAGCAAGTACTTTGTCTAAAGAAAAAGGAGTTAAGTTTTCATGCTGGACAACACTAGTTTTGCAGTAAGAATGCAGAAGACATGTTTCCCTGAGGGTGGCAGCATGACTGCACAGATGCCATTAGAAAAAAGTTCAACTAGGACAGAGCTGACAGGCAAAGCCTTCTGACTCCACAGAAATCCAGGAATACAYGTGGACACCCCACTCTCTCTGGTCCACTGCTTCCAAGTAATGCTGATCAACATTCTTCAGTAAAGCTCAGCTGCCACTTTGGATTTGCCTGAACCTCCAGGATCTCAAGTGTAACCGCTCTCCAGTCTCCTGCAAAGCCCAGAACAGCACAGAGCCACCAGTTGCCTGCAGACACAAGCAGCAGCAGCTTTATGGATGGTTCATAGACTGGGGTGCCCACTTCCATTCCCTTATGTTCTCCTATGCACAGGGCCCCTCACTCACATGATCTGACAATCAGATTTGTGATGCTTGCCAGGGATTCATGTCACCCAAATGCTGCAGACAATTCACAACTACAGTGTGTATTGTGAAATGCCAGCTACTGACATCTCCATTTCTCAATATTTGGGGTTTTTTTACTCTCCCACCCATCTCCATCATCCACTCCATGGGGCTACTGGACCTCAGAGAAGGTGGAACACTGGAAAAAGTTTAGGAGGAAGGTAGAAAATAAATTTTGCACCTTGCACACAGTAGCAYTGCCTTGAAAACTAGTCCTTGTGCCAGGTCTGTCAGTTTATCCTTGGCAAATATAGTCACCACAGGCATGCTAGGAACCATGCATTCCTCTTTCAAAACCATTTCCCAAGCTCATAACAGACCCAGTTTAACCTCTCATCTCATCAGCAATCCCCCTTCAGAGCCATGCTTTTCTGGGGAAGAGGTAGGAATTACATTTCCTCATCTCATATTTCCTCCCCACCTTTTCCCATGAGATGTTATCCCTCAGTGTGCCAGGGCAGCTGCACATTCCAGAAACCCTGATGCTGTACAGAGTTCTGGAATTTTGAGATTTTGCCTGATGCACACTGACCTCAATTAGCCCCAAAGGAGGTTAAGATAAGAGYCACTGCTATGGTCCCACCAGCTATAGGGAGAAAGCCCTGCCCRCAAGTTGCTGAGCAAATACTAAACAATTACTGATTCTGCCACTTCTCTGAAGGGCTGGACAGCACTGGACATCTCCTCCAGGTCATTTCCCTGACCAACATGCTTGCACAAGACAAAACCAGCCAAGTTACAAGACAAAACCAGCCAAGTTGCATATTATGCAGGAGCAAACTGACCTCACTTTTAGGACACAGGTAGCAGTGGGAACAGATTTGATGCTGTGCACTGACACACGGAGGCACTTTGGTCAGACCACTAACAGTAAATCAGTGCACATATTTTATAGCAGTTCTCCCTCTCACTGCTGACTATTTAGTTTGCAAAACCCCTGCCTTTTAACATGTTCATTAACCTAWAAAGCACAAGGGAGGCCAAGCTYAACCAGGAGGCCCTTAAAGCATGAKTGCRATGTCCAGAAATGCTMCTGYTCTGYACAGCTTTCATRTGTTTTCWTTTCTAACATGCAAACAGAGAGGGATAAATTGTTCTTGGACAGCTTTGGACACAATTTAAAGAAAGCTCTGGCAGGCAGAGAACAGTATTCTCAGASAAAGGACAGGAAAAACTCCACAGAAAAGAGGGCCAGTATCCACAGCACTAGTTAAAACCCCGCAGAAAGTGTCAGGCACATGCAAGAGGAACTACACTCAGGACTTCTGTCCTGGGCTCACCTTCTTTCCACATGCAGACAGCTGAAGCCTCTGTGATGGARAGTGTTGTACCATGCAACCATGAAAACCATCTGCTAAGCCAGCCAGCCCCTCCCCAGATTGCTATATATTACTATATGTTAAATCCACTGGTCTTCAGGACATTTACAGTCAACCATGGGCAGCAGTAAAAAGAAGGCATATCCATTGCAGGAAGAGAGGGGAATTTCCCATTTCTCTTCAGATAGACGCTGCCAGGAGGCAGGCAATAGCATTGTCAAAACTTACTCATGAGTATATGATTTAATGAAGGACCATCTTAAGAGTCTTACTTACCACCCCACGCAAGGTTGGAGGTATCAGCCCACAGTAGACAGGGATAAAGGTGCTGCAGACACAGGCCTGAGGGAGAAATAAATCCAGAGCATTAGAGTCAGATCAAAACCTACTGAAACTATTACTCTTCTCAGAACACCATGGTGGCATGTACTGACAGGTATGCTCCAGTACCATGGACATTTGGAGACCAAGGCAAAGCAAAACTGAATGCAGTCTCTGCCYAGACCTCTGCAGTAAGTTTCCAATCACCTGGATGAGTTCCTCCTTGGAATTGAAGTCTGACAGTATCACATTTTCTCCATCAGAGACCCGTGTCAGGGAAATACCCAAACGTCCTGCTGCAACCTCATGGCCATTCTCTGGCACCATCTTAGACAGGCATATCCGAATGGTCTTCACCAAGTTGAAAGAGGGGTGGAGTGGGCCCAAGAATCTCTTCCGGGCTTCTTTTGACACCCGAATAATGCTGGCACCAGCCTCCCCTGCAATGAGAGAAACGCACCATGAAACACTAGTGAAACYAGTCTTCTCCTTTACAAAACTAGGCACAGAAAACTCTCATTCCCAGCCTTTTCCCCACTGGCTGATATACAAAAAGAAGAGGTTATTACAGGGGATGTTACAGGAGTCATGGAAGTTTGCTGTTTTGGCCCCACCACAAAGAGCTACTCTCCTCTTACTTATGTTTTACCAACTCAAGGAAGATCATGTGCATCTGACTAAAGCTTCACACTTTTTTTTTTAGATCTGGCCAGTGAAGGGCTGATGGAAAAAAAAAAAAAAAACAAGACTGATCCTTCAACAGCTTTGGGCTTATGGATAAATCCATTTCAAAACATATTCCACTAAAACCTTTCTAGTAAGCAYCTTTTTCCTGAGAGGAAAAAGAATCATCACCCAGTAAGCAAAAGTGCCAGACCAGGAATGCTGGTGCTTTCCAGTTAAGTGATCCCAACTCTGCTGTGAATTTCAGCCACATCTCAAGTAAGCAAGAGGGACTAATGCTTCATTAGGGAATAGCRACTTAGCTCCTCCTGCAGAGCATTTAGTGTCCCATTCCTTCCATATCCAATTCCACAGCACTAAACCAGGCCCTGATGGCAAGCAGGACATATGAAGGCATGCTTGCTTTACCCTTTCACACAGTGACCCAGCTGGTTTTGAGGAGAGGAGACATCCCAGCTGCACAAAAGGGAAGGCATCTGCTAAGCCCATTATCTCAGCCACKAGGAGCTCCATCTGACAAGTGCATCAGAGCTCTCCAGTGTGAAAAAAAGCAATGGGAGGAAAAAAACCCAATCAACCTAAACCAAAACTACAGCATCCATCATATTGTCCTTTGCACATACTGACTGTCRCCTCCACATACATCCAGCTATGGTGAGATACAACACTTCTCTAAGTACAAGTTAATCACTGCACTCAGGACTGTCAGGAATATACAGAATGTGAAGGGAAGAATTAAAGAAACCAGGAGAAAAGAAACATGCTTTTACAAAAGAAGACTCCTCTCCAATCAAACTGAAAGGCAGTTCCTGGAAAAAGATGAAAGACTATCAGCTGATTGAAAGTCCCTTCATTTTGCTCTCCCACGCAGTTTTTCAATTGCAAAAAGAAGGCAGCAGAATGAAAGAACCCAAGTTAGACCCAAGTTAATAAATACAATGGAGATAAGAGCAACAACCCTCCAAGCTATGTTGACACATCCCCCTCTTTTGCAATACACGTGTGCCAGCAACATGTTTTTCATCAATGTGGCCTGGGAACGTGATTCTGGGCTTAGGAAACCCATCAATACCAGTAGCTCAAGCACGCAAAGAACTGGACCCTTGACCATGATCAGAGACTCTGAGGTCAGGATTTTAGGCATTGTGAGGTAGCAACTTAGCAGAAAAGCCAAAGTTCCCCCTCTGAAGCAATTTTTAGCCTTGTAATCCCAGTCTTCTGTCCTAGAGCAATGTTTAGCAGTCTAATTCTGATCTTACTTAATTAGCAGTAAGCCATTGAACCCAGCCTGTTCCAGATAGTAGCCACATGGTTCAACATCCTTCCCAACATGAAGGAAGTCAGCCCCACAGAAATACACTTTATAATCACTGCAACATTAGCACTCAAAACTTTTCCTTAGACACTTTCACATCTGTCAGGGGGAGGAAAGAAACTGCAAACAAGAAGAAAACTGAAGGAATCCCAGCCCAGCACCTTGGCATATGACCCCATAAGGGAAACTCCTCTGTACTGAGTGCATTACAGTGTACAGTTGGCTTGGCTGAAACCCACAGTGGGAGGGAGGGTGGATGTTGAGCATGCAGCTGATGGGAGACCCCTGTGCACAAAGGCTGTGCTGGGGGGAGTGTGGGTCACCCAAGAGATGGTGCTTACAGAATGATGCCTTCAGGCTTGGCATCTCAGTGTGCAGAAAGACCTGATAGCAATGAAAACAACTGCAACTAAATGGAGCTTTTATGACTGGTTGAACAAAAATGTGAGCTGGAAGGGGGTTGGGGGTTTTTTAAGAAAAACAAGAAAGCAAAGTCCCAACTACGCCAGTAAACAGCATTTGAGGGGAACCATGAGTTGAGGCTGCCTCCTCTGTCACCGTTTCACACCCAAGAGAGCCAAGGAASAATTATTGCTAATTAGCAAGTTCATTCTTTGGATACTTTCTAGAGATTTGTTGTTTTGGGTTCCTTTCATACACATGTGCATACTCACAGAAGCTTTGAGGCACTTCTGTTTAAAGACATCTGTGGTTCTAACTGTGACTCACTGGATCACTTGCACCAAAGCTGCATGTGGAAGGGCTCTGTAAGAAGGCATGAGCACAGAGTGACCTGCAGTACCACCAGCTTTCCAGGAAATAAGACTAGCTTATAATTAGAAACCAAAGAAGCCAGGTTTATATAGCTAGAKCCATGATAGATGACAAGTCTTCTTAGAAATATATTTGGGAGGAGAGAAAAGAAGTGACAGTGTTTTAATCCTGTTACTACCAGAAAGGCTATTCGAGGAAAACCAACTCAATTTCTTTCTGCGATGTGTCAGAGGGAGCAGCTGAAGGAGAGGCAGTCAAGTGAGAAAATTCCWACAGGGGTCAGGCCATCAACTCTCAATTATTACCAGGACTAGTCCAGTGCCAACTGCAGCCCACAGGAAAGTTTCTATCATTGTTTTTTGATGGATTTAATAGTTCAGGACACACAGTCCTGTGAAAAAGCTCAATTAGATAGTCCTTATTGAGGTACATACCACAGGGCAGAGGCAATCCCTAATCGYTGGCAGTATTTGCTGAGAAAATATTTCATTCTTCTCACACCAAACAATTAATTCAATCTTAACCTCCACAGATTTATGAAGACAATTTTCCTCAAAAATCTTGTGTTAATATATATGGAATATTTCACTGTCATTAGGAAACCCACATTCCCTTTACCCCCGCCCCCATCACCCCAGTGGGTGTTGTTATACATGAACTCAAGTACTGCAGGGCCATTGTCCTTATCTAAATTTCAGCTGGGATGATGCAAAGGAGCATCACACAGTTGTGTCCTGAAACATCCCAACATGTCCCTTGCCAGACAAGGAAGGCCAGCTGCTTCCMCTCTGCTGGTGATCTATCATCTGCAGTGGCTACCAGGGGCAAAATAGTGGCACCCACGGGAAAAGCCTGAAGGCAGCTGCTAGTTCACATTTCATTTTTAAACTATGTCAATCCAGCTTCACATTAGCTTATTGACATATCAGGACTGTTCCCTTAAACAACTGACTTTCATCTCTATCAGTCATGCTTAACTCCAAAATAACTCAGTTTATCCTGCCTGGCATCCCCTAAACTCTAACCTGAAAAGCATTTAAGCAGCACATGCTATTTATAACTGTAAACAAACACCCCAGCAGAGCAGCCTGCTGCTACTCTGCCTCTGGAACAGAGGAGCTGAAGATCAATCACCTATAACTGACCTTAGCCAGGCAGTTGGGAAGACCCTTATGTGTTGCTAAGGGCTCTGGGGTGAAACAGAAAGGCTRCTGCAAACCTGTGTGGGGCATAACAATGAGGTCCATTGCAAAGCTTAAACATTGCATGACAGGAAGGGTGACAAATAGGGAAGAAGGGCCTCTTCAGACCCACACCTGCAGCAGCAGGGCTTTGGCACCAAGGACACCATGATGGTCTCCTGTTAAACCATATGTTAGACCATATTGATATCTATTTGCCAGCCAGAAAAATGACAGGTGACCCATGAAGTATTTCAAATTGAAAAAAAGCCWAAGACACAGACAAAAACAGGAGCAGACCAAACGAAATAGGGGGAAGGGCATTCTGGATAATCAACCCAGCAGCTCCCTCTGGGAGAGCTCTTTGTCAGCACAAAGATCACCCTTCTTTGCCAGGGACATTCCCACTCCCTGCCTAGTGCAACAGTAAACAGGATACGAACTTAAAGGAAAAGTTTTTCAACAGGGATGGAGAAGAGAAGATAGCACCGAGTTGGTGGATGTAGGGACAGCATGCCCTGTCCCTGACGGTAGGAGGCACAGACAGACGTCACACCCTAGACCGCAGATACCATAACTTGCCTGGACTAGTGCGGCAGGCAGGAAGCTCTGCAGATCCTTACTAAACCTGCTTCTCGTTCAACACCAACAAATGGACTCCTTCCTACACATCAGCAACRCAGGAGGCACCACTCCTCCCTCCTCATTCCCACTACCCAGCTAAAGCTCCAGACTGACCCAACACATGAACAGCTTTGAAAACAAGCCAAYTAGCAGAAGGAAGCACAGGTACACTTGGTGTACACTTCCCCCACGAATTTGACAGCCTTATGCCTTGTTCGTTTGGGATCACATGACCAAGTCAAATCTTTGACTGTAAGATTTTCAGGAGCCCTGCCAATCCTGGGATGTCATTCCAGARCTCTTTAAGTTCTGCTCAGCTATCTGTTCCAGAGATGTTTGTGTGATACTCAGCACAGATATCCCTTGGAAGAMTCCTCAGCTAAAATATTCACACTTTGCTTTCAGTGCAGGTGGTTGTTGAGCACTGCTGGAATTGTCATTATCCCAGTGGTAGATCCCTGTCTGCCTGTGAATTTAAGAATACGAGGAGTCAGAAGGAATTTATTAACATGATCTCCCCCAATGCTAATTTATCTCAGTTGCCTGTCTCTTGCTCTTCCTGTGCCACATACAGGAAGAACTAAAAGTCAGTCTCAAACAATGAGAACCGTTCCATGTTCTCCCAGGGCCCAATCCTCAAGCTGCTCCAGGTCAGCATGCACAGCTCCCACAATTGCCTCTTTGAGTACTGAGTGTAAGCAATGCACATGCTTTCCTGCCTGGCCTCTCCCAGATGATATAGTCCTAATTATAACACAGTCCTGTCACCAGCCTGAAAGAAATGCACAAAGCTGTAAACAAGAGGACCAAAACAAAGGTTTGCAAATTGACATCTAGAAAATAATTAACAGAGAACTTTATT